TTCGTTGTATCCGTTTGTTCGCTACATCCGTGTTCTACTGTACTTAGCAATATGCCAGCTATATGATGGCGGTCTGTAACTAGTCGAGTCTGGACCAGACAATCCAGTGATTGAAATCTTGAGCATCGATCTACAAAATTGGGATACGATGACCACCCGATCCCGAGAGTTGCCTAATACGACATGCATGGGTTGCCGAAGAACACCATTCAGTAGACACTCCAATAGGAAATGAAAGCAACGCTTGCAAACTTGTGTGATCTTCTTAATCGTTGACTTGAGATATGGATGTAGTTGACATAGTTTTAGTGATGCAAATATATAGGTTTTAAAACGTACAATAAATCCTAAGACTTGTAAAATATGCGCGATCCTATGTCTACAGATGCAAGCATTTTTAAAGAAAAAATATTCTTTTATTCAAATTATATTTTCACCTTGATGCGTCACTTATTATTTGTTCAGTGAGATTGACGCAGGTGGTATGGTCCTGGGCGGTAGAGAATAGCATACCGTCAGCGAGATCTGTCTTTCACCTGCTGTGACCAACGCATTCAGACACGACTTGTAATTGCAATTCCAAATGACATATAGACCGTAGTCGTGCAAATTGTATTCAGACTCGTGTTAATTTGATGATTCAGAATTTTGACATTCTCTTGTAACCTAGCCACCTTACAGTGATTTTGAAGTATAAGCTCTTGAATTTGTCGCATTATTGTAAACTGCCTGGTAAAAGAAAATATACACCCATGTTTGATGATGGTTAAGTGAGTGAGTGAGTGAATTTGGTTTTACGCCTATTTTAGCAATATCCCAGCAATATCAAAGCGGGGGACACCAGAAATGGGCTTGACACATTGTACCCATGTCTAGATTCGAACCCGGGTCTTCGGCGTGACGGGCGAACGCTTTAACCACAAGGCTACCCGACCGCCCCGATGGTGTTTAAGAATGAAACAAACAAGAAATGGTTATTCGATAGTGATGTATTTTGGACCTTAAGTTTGCAGTGTATCGTTAACTGTTTTCAGTCAAGACGTCTTGATAACGGCTGAACTTTTTGAGCCAATATTTAAGTGAAAACATACGTTTTGCCCGGCAGTTTATATAGATGGTGTTTGTTTTTTGTGCTACGTCAGTGATAAGAGTATGTCTACTCCATAGGCGTGTTTAATCCTCATGTCTGACAAGCATTGCCAGTTTGCACATCAACCCCATCTACGAAGCCGTCCATCATGTATCACGTTGATACAGTTCTTGAAAATATTATAAATTGATTTCCTGAAATAGTTCGTCTCGGTCCTATGTGCATGTGTTCATGGTGCCTATTTGTCGGGCATGAACAAGTTTAGACCTAATGAAATAACCTGGGACTTATTCATTACATTCTTCGCCTAAAAAGTCAATCATTTGGTTGTTAGAACATTCATTTTACACAGATACACCTCTCTCTATTAACTGATATCAATCTAACTCAACTGAGGTGCATGCACTTCTCTCTATACCGGAACATCCCTCTCTATATTAGCATCTTTCCACAGTGATACATCCCTCTTTTATACTGATACATCATTATTTACTGATTCACCTCTCCATGCCTGAAACCTCTCGACACCGACACACCTCTCTCTGTACTGCTTCAGCTGTCTATACTGATATACCTCTCTATACATACACACCTCTCGATACTGACACACCTCTTTCTACACTGCTTCAGCTGTCTATACTGATATACCTCTCTATACAGACACACCTCTCGATACTGACACACCTCTTTCTATACTGCTTCAGCTGCCTGTACTGATATAATCTCTATAAAGATACACCTCTCTATGCAGATACACCTCCCTATACAGATACACCTCTCCATAGTGATACACCCTCTATATAGATACACCTCTCTATAGTGATACACCTCTCGATACTGACACACCTCTTTCTATACTGCTTCAGCTGTCTATACTGATATACCTCTCTATACAGATACACCTCTCAATGCAGATACACCTCCCTATAGAGATACACCTCTCCATAGTGATACACCCTCTATACAGAAACACCTCTCTATAGTTATACACCTCTCGATACTGACACACCTCTTTCTATACTGCTTCAGCTGTCTATACTGATATACCTCTCTATACAGATACACCTCTCGATACTGACACACCTCTTTCTATACTGCTTCAGCTGCCTATACTGATATACATCTCTATAAAGATACACCTCTCTATGCAGATACACCTCCCTATACAGATACACCTCTCCATAGTGATACACCCTCTATACAGATACACCTCTCTATAGTGATACATCTCTATACTGATACACCTCTCTATACAGATACACCTCTCTATACAGATGCACCTCTCAATACTGATACATCTTTGTATACTGATAACCTCTCTATACAGATACACCTCTCTATACGGATATACCTCTCTATACAGATACACCTCTCTATACGGATGTACCTCTCTATACAGATACATCTCTCTATACGGATACATCTCTCTATAAAGATACACCTGGCTCTACTGATATACCAGTCTCTACTGATAGAACCTTTCTATACTGATACACCTCTCTGTCTTTATAAGCCGCTCTACACTGATACACCTCTCTATACTGATGCACCTGTATATTCTGATATAATCTTCACCCTGATACACCCATTTGTACTGATGCATCTCAATACACCTATCCTTCGTTCTTAAGTAATAATGATCTGGGTGGGTGTTATTTTCAGATAAATATTAATGCAGTTTAGTTTACTTGGAATTCTAGCAATAGTACCACCACTAACTAGCACACACTGTTTTTGAAAAAAAAAGAAGAACCTCCTGCTGTATTTTGACTTTGTACTCGCACAGGTGACGTTGATTAGCACAGAAACGTATAAGCATCTAAAACACCTATTGACACCTGCGTCCTTGTAAGCATACAGCGTACGTTGATTTACCACACGCAAGTGAGAATACGTCTAGTTGCTATGGTGATCAGTGACCAAAAAGATATGTCATATTGGGGCAGATTTTGTTAACGTTCACAAGGTAAATGACCTGCTTGGATCTGTATGAGGTATGTAAATCGTTACTCTACGCAATGGTTTCACTGTTACCCATGGCACTTGTATATGTTTATTATCGTATATGCACGAATCATGTTCTCTCCCATACGCGATGCACGATACATGATAAACTCGAAATATGTCGTATGACGGAACCTAGCCCCTAGAAGTAGTAACTAAAGTTGATCCTCTCTGCACATTTACAGAACACATAGAGCCTTGATGTTTCTTAGCCATCAGCTGACAGTGAGACACAGGTGACACTGACCTTCGTTTACCACAGCGCTTGTCAATTTTGTCACTATTTCCGACATTAAGTAATTGGATACCATCTTAAGGGGAATATAATCATACTAGGGTTCACGAACTTCTAGCTTGACATATGCAGGTGTTAAATGAAATATAAAGATAATCGCTCTGTGAGAATGACAAATTGAATGCTTTCCCCGACTCCAGGAACACTGAAGGTAGGTTCCGTACGTTAGAATAATACTGTATACTGTATACTATACTGTACTCCCACGTCAATTTCGTGAAACGGTTTAAGTCTGAATGGTTGCCTATGATTTGATAAAATGAGGGGCAAAAGAAAGAATGCCTTGTATTTTTATTCATCCACGAAAGAGTTTGTAAAAAGTAATGTGTCGCTGGATAAATTTGTGTAAACGGTCACTGGTTCAACGAAAACTGGGGCAAGAAATGAATTTTCATCGATATGACCCCTACCATGTTTGAAATGTAAATGCGAGCCGAAAAAAAGCAAATTGATGATTTTCAATGATACCAATGTCTGAGATATCTATCAGCAGTTGTGTATTATACGATCTTGAAAAAAGTTTTGGTTTGAAATCAAAGTATATAAAAAATAAAACCATGTAGAAGTATTCTTTGAGTGATGACAAAGCGCTAGTACAGTTCAGTTTTTGGATATAATAGCGCTAACTTGAGATATTGTCAATTGAAAATCAAACATATTATAAAATCAACTGCGAAATGTAATTTCTTTTGCTCCTCAGATTCTGTTTTAATTCTGTTTTAAGGCGCATGTCCATAGTACATATTGTTGCATAAATGTGTTTCTGATTTCAAACGTTGCAAATGAAAAATTAGTCAGATTATTGCTTCAGTAACCAAACACAGCTGAGAGCTGTCTCAGCGAGTTATGGAAATGTGTGAGGAAACCAACGAAAAAAAGCGACCAAATTATTTCAATGAATATGATTTTTTTTTAATGCTGCACTCATCAATTTTCAATCGGTCTGTAAATAATCGAATCTGGACCAGATAATCCAGTGACTGATATCATGATCATCGATCTACGCATTTGCATCAACTAAGTCAGCGAGCCTGACCACTCGATTAGTCGCCTCTTACGACAAGCATAATCAACTTTTACGGCAAGAATGGGTTGCTGAAGCCCCTATTCTTTTTTTACGTGGGACGATCGTTTGATATAATAATACTGTAACTTTCTTGACATGTTAACTAAAACAACAACTGATCGGAAGATTGGTGTGCACCTACATTGTTCCAACTGTGGAACAGGGTTTAATTCTGTATCTATTGTTATTTGTGACTACGGTTATAACGAACTCAAAGGTACCGCTCATTTTAGTTCGTTGTTCGTTATAAGCATATATGCAACGTACATACAGCAAATGGCCTGGACCAAAAAGACCAGTTTGTTGTATCCGTCAGTTCGTGATAAGCGTGTTGGTTGTAAACGTAGTTTACAGTATACGAAATGCCCTTCTAAATCCCGTCCTCACTGACGTTAAATTCCCAGCCCTGAAGGTCCTACAATAGTGTTTGTCTAGACGTTAAACTTACCATTTCTTATGGACAAACATTGCCAAGTGTGCATTCTCAGAACCTTTGACAATGCTTATATTATTTTGTTTCTAATGCTGATTACGTTATTTTTCAGATGTGGTTGAGATTACTGTCTGTGATGCTGGCGATTCTGACCGCCACCAGCGTCAGCGCCCAGGCTACAGGAAGACTCTGTGGCAAACAACTGGCCGACGCTCTTGACCTTGTTTGTATGGGCCGGGGCTTCCATTGGGACGTCAGCAAAAGATCAGGTAGTTTACATTGTACCGTTCTCATACATGACCCATAGAGGCAAGGGTTTTGGGGAAATTGTGTTCCGTAAATCGCACTGTGTATTGGATCGGCATGTTATTTCTGTGGGCAAACACTATTAATCCGGCATTAGTCCGTACAAGTACAAGCAGCCACACACACATATGCCTGAACGTTGCTATATAAATGCAATAACCTTGAATACAACAAAAGCCCCGATTAGCCTCACCGGTATCTTATGATTCATAGGTTGAATATGTTATATTTCATCTAATTATAACGGGGTAGATAGGTCTTCAGCAACCGATGCTTGCCGTAAAACGGGACTATGTTTGTCGTGAGAGGCGACTAACGGGATCGGGTAGTCAGGCTCGCTGACTTTGTTGATGCATGTCATCGTATACCAATTGTATGGAACGATGCTCATGGTGTCAATCACTGGATTGTCTGGTCCAGACTCGATTATTTACAGACCGCCGTCATTTGGCTTTATTTTTGCGGCGTTAAACAACAACCAAACATCTAGTTTTACCATCACCAACGGACCCATATTCGTTCGTCTTATCCTTTTTATCCACATGGCTATACCCTTCTAATGATGTGTACAAATGGGGTGTTATTATACTATTAGGATATACTATTCAATTTTGAGACAATATTGTACCATATGGTAAGGACGTTCCAACGTTACGCCGTAGATTGTACTTCGACTGATTTGAAATTTGAACAGAATAGTATCAGTACTAGCTGAAATGTTCCTTAAATCCACATAAAACAATCTACCTACATGTTTCAAGGTTCCGTGTCTTTTCTCTTCAGGTGTGCCGCTCCTGACGAAACGTGACGGCGGCATTAGAGGTAGAAGGTCTGTCACTCAACGCGGAGTTGTGGAGGAGTGCTGTGTCAACGTGTGCAGTGTCGAGATGCTAGAGAGATATTGCGCTCAGCCGGCCAGTAGTAGCAGACTGGTATGTTGTCCTTTAACATACATTTGTCTTACTCAAGTGAAAAGGGCCAAAGGGTGCCCTAGTCGTCTATTCATACGTGGGGTTAAGTCCCAGATTAAGAATTCCGGGTTGTCAGGTTGATGTTTTTGACCAAAGAAGTAAAAGAGCCCTGCATCACTTCGGATTTTCCTCCCACATCAATGGGCACCATGTGATCAAGTTTAAATACTGCTCAAAGCGGCGTTATACCAAACTGGTTCACCCTTCAATCCAAAGGGACGGTGGGGTTGTTTAGTGGTTAAAACGCTCGCTCGTCACGCCGAATGCCCGGGTTCGATTCCCCACAATTTGTGAAGCCCAATTCTGGTGTTCCCGCTGTGATGTTGCACGAACAGTGCTAAAAGCGCCTAAAACTATACTCACTACAAGCCCAAATGGGGGGCACGGGTGGCCCAGTCGTCTAAGGCGCCGCGATTCGCTGTGCAGAGTTGCGTCCCTTGGGCACGCCAGAAGCCTATGATTGTGGGTTCGAATCCCGGTTCGCCTCGATTATGTTTCTAGGTTTGTCAGCACCATACCCGTGCTGGTGGGTTGCACCGGGGTGGTAAACGTCTGAGACCTGCATCACTTCGGGCTTTCCTCCCACATTAAGCTGACACGCCGCGATATAACTGGAATACTGTTAAAAGCGGCGTTAAACCAAACTCACTCACTTCAAGCCCAAATGAGTATCAATCATCAAATCGTGTAGAATATTGACAAATGAAGTTGAAAACACATCAGCATTAGCAGTCCCATGTAAATATGGCATGACTATATTCTTCTCAATTGGCTACCAACAAACGTAACATATAACCAAAGTCATTGTCCATTCTGCGCTCAGCATTGCTGACGAAAGTACAAACTTTAAGATATATACTCTATCCTTGAAAAAGACGTTACCAACAAGAGAATGAAGTTGAACGTGACGAATGTCACTATCATTCTATCTTCATTGAAACACGTGTCAGCTTAAAGTGGAGGAAAGCTCGAAGCGATAACGGCATCAGAAGTTTACCACTTTTGTCAAACCCACGAGAACGGATGCGGTGGGGTAGCCTTGTGGTTAAAGCGTTCGCCGAAGACCCTGGTACAATGTTTGAAGCCTATTTCTGGTGTCCCCCGCCGTGATATTGCTGGAATATTGCTAAAACGGCGTAACACCATACTCACTCACTCACGAGAACGGTTATGGTGATGACATTCCTAGAAACATGATCGGATTGAACTGGGATTCAAACCCATAATCATAGGTTTCTTGCATACCCATCCAGGCTCGCTCACCGTGGTTACATGCTTATGCAATTGTTGATCCATGTAATATGACCATGAATGTAATTATGCAAGATATATCATACATTGCAGTATTTTTTAGATAATGGTGTCTTAACAACCAGCATTATATCATCCTTCTTCTTTTTCAGACACGTTTACGTCAACAATTTGCACATGTGACCCAGCCTGCTGACCAGGTCACTACCACACTACCCCCCTCCCCGCCAACACCTGGGACCCCATCAACGCTTTCCTCTGAGCTCGCCTCTAATCCTAGAAAATTCAACTCGTTTTTCTACCTACACGTGGGCCCGAGGCCAACCAGAAGCCCTTTAATATAGACTCCTCTGAGGCGTCGTGGATGCTGGAGCATACCTGTTTCTTACGCAGGAACATGATACCATTCTCTTTCACGGCGCGACACTTATAAAGGGATGGATGTGACTTAAGAAAGACAAACTTTACATGATCGTCACGATGACTACATATATTATTAACGATGACCAACTGTCGTCCATTCAGAATGATCACTGAATATTAGTCATGTTCATGATGTAAGTATTGACGAGATGCATGTAAGACATTATGGGGAACCTTACGTGATCAGTGTGACCGATCGGGCTATAATATGCTGGTAATATGTTGTTTATACGGCACAATACATCATGGAAAGCTTACATGCAATGTATGCTGTCATGAGAATCAATGTTAGCATGTTGCAAATCCAAGATAGATTGATATTGCTTCGTATATCATTACATACACATTGTTAACGTATAAACATTTTCCTTTTCAATGCAATGATACCATGTTGTTCTCTTTCGATTACCGCATCAGGTTTCCAAATTCCCGCTTTTGTATTGTGCATATAGGTAATATGCTTTTAAAGCGTACCCTGCAGTGATATGCTTTCGCCATGCTTTACCCCGATCTTCCGCCGGGATGTCATAGTGACTTTGCGACCACTCGTCTCACACTTCAGGCCGAGTGGTGACGAATGTGTCAGATTATGTTCTTCGCGTGCTGGTGCAATGCATGATTATACATTCGGAATTCCGTTTTAAATCATTTGTAGTTTACCTGACCAAAAAAACCTTACCATATCTTAGGAATAGAGTTTCATCCATTACTGCAGAAAAATCAATTGCTTGACCTGGCTATATCCACTTAATCTAATCATACTGAAATTATTATGGCCTGCGAGATCTATACAAGCTGTACTGAAACAATAGCTGTATATTTGACACACGTCCATTATTTTATCTCAATACGTATACGTCGCTCATAAAAGTTAATCATAATAAAATACTTCTAAATCTACGAATAGGAATAATTATGGTCAATTTGTAAAATAGTTATTGCTACCAACTGAGTTACACTTTTCTTGACGTTGATTGAGATGGTTGAGCAAAAGTGATGATGAACGAAATCAAGACGTTTTCGCTTTGATTTCAAGCATGGCTTTGTGAATGTGTCGCTAAACGTTTCGTACACATGCACACAAAGTAGATGAAATGAAAGTAAATTCCTTTATTTCTCTAAGTGTTGCAATAATTCTCATTTTAAAGGAATTTCACGATTCAATACAATACGAATCAGAACCCTGCATTAAACTCGTGTCGGTCATGATGCGAATGCAGAATGTTAAATTCGCTTTAAATATTTATTAAACAAACTTTGTGCTACATTTAATCTTTTAATTTACGTCAATAGTTTCTAGAACACGAGGAACGACCTGATGTGCGACATGATTAACTGTAAAGACAATATATGGGTTAACATGTACTGATGGCAAAGTGTTGTTGTTGCACCGATATAGAATAAATCTGATTTTAATTTTTGTGTTGGTTTTGCAAGCAACTTTTTTGCATGTGGTTAGTTTGTTTTCGTTTTAATCGATAATGGAAACGTGATTCCTGTGATCCGAGATCCCTCTGCTGTGCGTCATGTAGTATCATGAATAATGCAATTATTATATATTTAATATTTAATTTAATACTTTAGAAACACAATCAGCCTCCGGGCAAGGGATGGTCTTTGCAAAATATCAAGAAGATATTGCCGTGCGTGTTTCATATCCACAGCTGTCGATTTCATGTTAGATTGTACACGCAAAAAACACTTTCTATCTTTTTCTAAACAAAACGAAATTTTAGAATGAATTAGTATCTGTGTTTGAAAATATACACTCATTTTTTTCACAGTGAAAGTAGGAAGCTCACAATAGTGTGAAAATGATATGCCGTTATGAGGCCTTCGTTTTTCGAGCTAAACAGGCCTGAGTTATCCCCCTTAGATTATGACGTAATTGGTGCCAATTCAACTGGGTCCCTGTCTATTCTCAACGCAAAAGATATCAAGTACCAGTTTGCGGTACAACATGGCCTACGACACATTCCGGCGCAGTGGTGACTCTGCATAACACTCTGCTGGCTGGCATCTGAGACGCTAGAATCACACACATGTACCTACACCACGTGAAGCGGCTCTAACAAAGCATGATGACGTCATAATGTTTATCAATTGGCACCAATGACGTCATATTGCAAGGGGCATTAGCCATGGTGTTTTTGTTGTGGAAATAGAACACTTGGTAAATGTGAAAAATATAAATCGTTTTAATGCGAAAAATATGTTAATTAATTGTGATATTTTTATATTTTTGTCTATGACACTTCTAGGTTTACACTTTTAATGTGGAAAAAGTTCAAGAAAAATAGGTTCATTTCCGTGTGAACTTGCCCTTTAAGAATATAATATACTTGTATTAGAGTCATAATAAAATATATATCATACTTATGTTTCATGTGCAAGAAAAGATCATTCTTTCTCATGCTACGTATTCGGATAATAACTTACCCATGCCGGACGTGTCAATCAGGATGTCTCTTTCTCATGCTTAATGTAAATGTACAATACGCAATATGTTTCTCGCTCATGTTTGACATTCCATACAGAACGCTTCTTACTCCTGTTTGGCGTGCTAGAACCTTTTCTTCTACTCAAAGAGCTGACACTGTTCACTGACGTGTATAGTTGGTAGCAGAAATTGGTTGACGCTGCTATATTGAATATCTTGTGATGTGCATTCTTTTTGCTAGGACATATATACTAGGAAACGATTGTCACATGTGATCATAACGGAACAGGAGAATCGTAGAATCGTACTTTATTTTCTTAAAATGTTTCATCTCGAGTTATATTCTAGTCTAATAAATGTTGTAAAAATGCTTTGTGTGAGTGTCATGACTGGACATTAGGAACACTAATATAAGTTGTCTTGGTGAGAGGTGGATCGCGGAGCAGTGTTTGGGAGCTTGCTTATACCACATCGAGTTTCTTTTGTATAAAATAGAAGTTAATGCATTTTGAGAAACGGTGAAAGTCATGCATGACGTCACCTTGTGATCGATAAACTGGTTTTGACTATGTCCAAAGCTAAAATGGCCCATTCCGGATGGGATGGAATCCAAAGGACTTTGGAGATCAATTCGCTATTCGCATGGACAACAATAACATTTAACTACTGATTGGGGCTTGGAATTAGTTTCCTTGTCACTAGTAGCTCACAAAATGTCTGACTTTCTTATATAGATAGGTAAATTTATTTATGGTGTAACATACAACTGAGGCTTCATTTGCAATCCGGGTCCAACCATTTCGCCACGAGTGCGTATGCAGTAGGGGTACCCGTTCATTCCACAGATGACATCCTTGTCAGATTTGGAGAATGTCCGTGGTTCAAACGTCGCGTGATATTGGAATCCTGAAGATATGGCCACTTAACAATCCCCCTGCTGGTTCAACGTTACATAAAACAACGAACGATACTTTGGACTCGAATAGTAGAATATATCGCATAATAATAATAAATCTGTCCATGCATGTTCGACAAATGCTGACATCACTTCACACATTATACCTTGGTGTGTATGACATATGCGGACATCACTTCACACATTAAGCCTCGGTGTGGAGTACATCACTTCACACATGCAACCTTGTTGTGGTCGACATATGCGGACATCAATGCACACATTATACCTTGGTGTGGACGACATATGCGGACAACACTTCACACATGCAGTCTTGTTGTGGTCAACACATGCGGACATCAATGCACACATTATACCTTGGTGTGGTCGACATATGCGGACATGAATTCACTCATTATGCCTTGGTGTGGACGACACATGCGGACATCACTTCCCACATTATACCTTGGTGTGGACGACATATGCGGACATCACTTCACACATGCAGTCTTGTTGTGGTCAACATATGCGGACATCAATGCACACATTATACCTTGGTGTGGTCGACATATGCGGACATGAATTCACTCATTATGCCTTGGTGTGGACGACACATGCGGACATCAATGCACACATTATACCTTGGTGTGGACGACATATGCGGACATCACTTCACACATGCAGTCTTGTTGTGGTCAACATATGCGGACATCAATGCACACATTATACCTTGGTGTGGTCGACATATGCGGACATGAATTCACTCATTATGCCTTGGTGTGGACGACACATGCGGACATCACTTCCCCCATTATACCTTGGTGTGGACGACATATGCGGACATCACTTCACACATGCAGTCTTGTTGTGGTCAACATATGCGGACATCAATGCACACATTATACCCTGGTGTTGTCGACATATGCGGACATGAATTCACTCATTATGCCTTGGTGTGGACGACACATGCGGACATCACTTCCCACCTTATACCTTGGTGTGGTCGACACATGCGGACATCACTTCCCACCTTATACCTTGGTGTGGTCGACACATGCTGACATCACTTCTCACATTACACATGGGTGTGGACGACATATGCTGACATCACTTCTCACATTACACCTGGGTGTGGACGACATATGCGGACATCACTTCACAAAATATAACTGGGTGTGGTCGACAAATGCTGACATCACTTCACACATTACACCTGGGTGTGGACGACATATGATGACATCACTTCTCATGTTACACCTGGGTATGGTCGACACATGCGGACATCACTTCTCACATTACACATGGGTGTGGACGACATATGCTGACATCACTTCTCACATTACACCTGGGTGTTGACGACATATGCGGACATCACTTCACAAAATACAACTGGGTGTGGTCGACATATGCTGACATCACTTCACACATTACACCTGGGTGTGGACGACATATGCTGACATCACTTCTCACATTACACATGGGTGTGGACGAGACATGCGGACATAACTTCCCATATTATACCTTGGTGTGGACGACATATGCTGACATCACTTCTCACATTACACCTGGGTGTGGTCGACATATGCGAACATCACTTCCCACATTACACCTGGGTATGGTCGACATATGCGGACATCACTTCTCACATTACATCTTGGTGTGGTCGTCATATGCGGACATCACTTCCCACATTACACCTGGGTGTGGTCGACATATGCGGACTTCACGTAATATATTACGGTGTGGTCGACACATGCGGAAATCATCTCACACATTAAGCCTTGCTGCGGTCGACATATGCGAACATCACTTCCCCCATTATACCTTGGCGTTGTCGACATACGCGGAAAAACTTCACACACTATACCTTGGCGTAGTCGACATTTGCGGACATCACTTCGGCGCCTTAGACGACTGGGCCCCCCGTGCCCCCTGGAATACTTGGATTCAACTACAAGTAATTACTGACGAAAGGACGAAATGCTACACAGCGAGTGTCTGATCTTCAATAGCTGATTCTCCTTCATCCAATAACACTGCAACAATTTGAACCTGCAAATATAACGCCACCTTTATCTCGAATAACACGTTAACACTGCAATAAATATTGGAAACACTGCCTCTCGCAAACACATCCCATACACCAATATAAAGGACAATCGAGGAGTTCACCTGCGTTAAACAAATATCTGAACAGGTACACGAGGGAAAGGTTCATTTGTCATTTCCATACATCAAGCGGTGGTTCTGATGACTGGGTGAGTTCGTGCGTATGGTTTTACGCCGTTATTAGTAATATTCAGGGATATCACAGCTTGTGTCAAAAGATATGGCATGGCACAATACGTGTCAAAGTATTACACCATTTTGATGACGTTGAAGTTAAATTATTTCCTGGTTCAAAATATATTTATTGAAAAGTCATCATATAAATTGACTTGAAACGTCACTGCAACATTGGTATACGTGTCCCGTTGTGTACATGGGAGTTAAACATAGAACTGGTGATCAGGAAGTCGTGGGTTCTGTCAATTCTGACACACTATGATATTATTCAAACACTGTTCAAAGTGACATTAAATCCCCGCCTCGCTCAACTACAATGGTCCACAATTAGATTGTGAACGCTACTTAGAATTACAGGTGCACTGACGTCACACAGGTAGAAACAAAGTGGTTGCCTTCTTGCTCGAGTATGGCTCGGGAGACATGCTTAATTTATCGGTCAAATAATTGAAAATTTCCGCAGTAACGTTATCCTCGACACGCTCAACGATAACGTATGAATTGACGGGAGGCATCATTGTGACGTCACACAGCTGTTTCGGTCTCTGATTCGTAAACATGCTCAGTTTATCTCGGAAATGTCGCCTTTTGTCATCAAATATCACGTTCCAACCATGTTGTGTTTGCTTAACGCAATATGACGACGGTCTGTACATAAAATAGTCTAGATCAGATAATCCTGAGACTGATCTACTCAAATTGGATACGATGACGTACACCAACAAAGTCAGCGAACTTTGACCACCCGGTCGCCTCTTTCGAGTTATAGCTATAAACCTCTACCCGTTGAGTGATGTGA